CAACTGGGGGTTCAGTATCTTGCTCAAGGACACTTCGACATGTGACAAACTTACTCACTGCCTTTTCAAGGCAAGATTGGTGTGCCTTTATTCTGTCTTGTTTTCTCTGTGTAAAGCGCAATGAAAATGTCAGGCCATTTTCATTGCACCTCTGGTCCACCTTGGGAGTGCTACATTTTTATGACGCCGTATGTTCTTACAACACTGGTCTAGTTTCTAAAAAAAAACAACAGCAAAGAAAAAAAGGATGTCAAATTGGGGAGACAACGACATCTGCTAACCAGTTTTGTGTGAAGCGAATTAAATGCTTCAAGAGCCAACAAAGCTACATCCTCACTTATCTCTCCCAGCACTGTTGCTTTGACTTGTACACTACCAGCTCACAATTTATGTCACAGTTGGCGTAGAGTGACGTCATGTCTCGCCTCTAGTGTGGAATGCCGGCCTGCTGTCTGAATTCACAGACTGGCTCGCAATTATACCGCCCTGAGCTTGATCTGTATGAACAGCACAAGGGTGGGATACTGGACCCTTTGGAATGGCAGTAGTGCAGGAGCTCGGTGTAAAAATGACTGTGGACTAGAGAAACCGGGAATCAAACCACCAACCTTCCAGTGAGGAGATGACCCATTCTACCTCCTGAGCCACAGCTGCCATGATAACTTTTCAGAGTTGTCCAACAGTTTGTGACTATGGCAAATCACTGTGCTGTGTTTTGGTGTCTAATAAGCTGTAAACATATAGATCCATTCCTCTAAATGGACCGTCTCAGTGGTACATCACACCTCCCCCAACACAGCCCGACTGTGCATGTGAATCCAGCCAAACGCTTTTATGCATGAATTATGACAGCCAGATCTTGTTCCCTTTGTCTTTCTTCTCAAGGCATGGAGAAAAAACAACTACAACAAAAAAACAAACAAACAAAAAAAACAAACAAACAAACAACTACAATCCATAACAAAACATTTGTTAACCTTTTTCTGTTTTTCAGAAAGTTACATGTCCTCTGGTGGACTGCATGTGTTTGAACGTTCAACTTAAAGCGATCTGTATTAACAGGCTAATGAATATATTTGGTTTTGATTTGATTTGATTTATTCTTTCAAGCATGTAAATACAGTTGATATGACAACACACATAATTTTACACATATCCAACAAATGCTAAACCAATAACAATTTGCTTATACCTAGTACATGCTTGAAT